CTTTATACATGTACTTTGCTGTGTTTTTTTTTAACATTACAATTTTTTTTTAACAACTTTATTTCACCTGTTTATTTTTGTATGTGGTGCTGAGGATTGAACCCAGGGTCTCACACATGCGAGGTGAGCACTCTACCGCTAAGCCACATCCCCAGCCCATGCATTACAATTCGTTYTTTTTAATGCATATAAATATTTTATAAATATAAAAACCTTTGTTATATTATTAATGCTTTAGAATACTTGAAATGTTAAAACACTCTATATCTTYCATTTAAATTTAATTTTGTGTTATTTTTTGTAAACAATGCCAAATAATGTTTTATATAATGGGCATAAATAAAGTAACACTGCTACCAGATAATTATATTGCAATAAACTTCATACCTTCTTTGTTATTTTTTGCCATTGAATGTGCCAACCCATTCTTCGTTGTGCTATTTTTGTGGTCATTTAGAACAAAAGGGTCAAATTGATACTATTGTCATTAAAAAGGATGATATGATTAACTAACAGGAAAGAAGATATCATCTGCAGTTAGTCTCTTGGGAGTATATGCTAAATGATCAAAAGGAAGTTCTACCCAGTCTCCCCCACTATAGCAACATCAAACTTACTTATAATTTTCTTACTCTAACCAGTGGATCTCAATTGGTTAAAATAAGATTGGTGTACTGAGATGGATTTCAACCCCATCGTTTTAGAAGCAAAATTATTTGAATATGTATTATTTTCATAATGAGTTATTCAATTTTTGATAGATTCATTTCAGAGAATTGGGATATATAAATGTGGAATATGAACTGTAAGCCCTGAATTTAGAGAATCGGAATTTTGGATAGGAATCCAGGTTCTATTTTTTTTATTTTTTGGTTGCTCAAGACAATACAATGATCTTGATACATCATACATTTGATTCAAATAGGGTATGAATTCTCATTTTTCCACGTGTACAGATTGCACTAGTATTGCTATATGTATATACGTTCCTGTATAACCAATGTGATCCTGCATTGTAATTCTGAATACACAGATATACCACAATTTTTGATTCTTTGTATGTGAAGTATGTTGACACCCAGTTCATATCTTCATACATGTACTTTGTATAATGATGTCCATCAGGTTCCACCATCCTTGCTAATCCGATACCCTCCCCCTTTCTGTTCCATCCCTCTTCCCTATATAGAATTCATCTATTCCTCCCATGCTCTCCCTCCCTACCCCACTAGGAGTCAATCTCCTTATATCAGAGAAAACATTCAGCATTTGTTTTTTGGGATTGGCTGACTTCACTTAGCATTATCTTCTCCAGCGCCATTCATTTACCATTATGCAGCATTTCTGACATCTATATGGGTCAGGATTTTAGACCAAAATCCATGATTTAATTATTTTTGGAGTTTCTCTAGAAGATAATAATGTTTCTACAAAGAAAAATTGAAAAAGACCTTGATCCAGATCATGTTTTTACACAGAGCAGTTCCATGGGATACATTGTGTCTTAAGTGCTTTTCACTTTTCTGTATGGGCCACTATTTTATGGAAAAGTTTTTCTCAGTACTCTCACTCCTTCCAGTGAAACTTTCAAGGAAAACTTTTTTTTTTTTAATGCACATGGGTTTAATATAAAACAGTAAATGGATCTTACTACATCACCCCTAACCCTGTTCTCCTACCTCATTGGTTATCTCCTAGTTTGTATTRAGATATTTGTTAGCTCTTAATTTACAAAAGTAGCAACTTGACTCCTAGAGCCCATATGAAAAGTAAATGAAAAGCATCTTACCTCGGGGATGACTTATAAGACATCTCACTGTAACTGCACTGTTTTCCTTTTTAATCTTAAGATGGAATCACTTCTAGGTTTGATGTGGCATAATTTTCTGAGATCTGTGTCCATTCCTGGAGTGTTAGTTAAAAACTGGAATATTTGAAACCTGATAGTGGTTTTTGTTTGTTTGTTTGTTTGTTTGTTTGTTTTTGGATCGGGGTTTGAACTCAGGAGCTCTCCACCACTGAGCCACATCCCCAGCCCTATTTTGTATTTTATTTAGAGACAGGGTCTCATTGAATTGCTTAATGCCTCACTTTTTGCTGAGGCTGGCTTTGAACTCGAAATCCTCCTGTCTCAGCCTCCCCAGCCACTGGGATTATAGGGCGTGTGCCTCCATGCCAATCTTGATATAGTTTGTGTGTGTGTGTGTGTGTGTGTGTGTGTGTGTGTGTGTGTGTGGTGTGTTGGGGATTAAACCCAGGGCCTTTATGTGGGAGGCAAATACTCTTGTCAACTGAGCTATGTCCCCAGCCCCTCGATGTAGTTTTTGACATAAATTTTAAACCTCTGCAAAAAAAAAGCAAAAAATAAATAAAATAATTTTTAATATCATTGATTAAACTCTATGTCCCCAATATTTTTCTAAATGTCTACATAGGTCATTTCATAAATAAATTATTTTTTTCTCATAAGTAAAAACTTGCAAAAACCTTAAAATAACAATATGGCTTTTTGGTTACAATATACATTTATAATACCTCTGCCACACAGTGCATTTCCTGTTTGTTCAGTCAGCAGATTTGAGTGCCACACTATAATGAATCAGAAAGGAGAGAGGAAAGCCTTAGCTTATCTTGAATTTATTTCCCCTCGTCTAGCTAATTTGCTATCAGTTGTCCTACACATCAGGCTGTTCATCTCTGTCTCTTCTGATCCTTGTGCCTTTTGTCTCTGTTTTCTTCCCTTCCTCTTCTGCCCTTTCCCCAAACCACACAAATTTTGCTACCCCTCCCCATCAGTAAAGGTAGGAGAGGGGCTGTATATCATTATCTCACCAGGGATTAGTTCTCTGTGTTTCTGTGTTCTGTTTTTAAATGACTGTCTGTTGGATAGTTTTGTGCTCTTTTCTGTCCACCTCTTTTTTCTAAGTTCTAATCAGTATTTTAGTCACTTGAACAAGGTAAATAGCAGTTCATTGTGATAAATGATGATTCTTAAAAAAATAAGTAAATAAAATAACTCATGGAAGATTTTAGGGTTGGGTATATTTGATGTATTCTTGCAAAGAAAAGTTTTATATACATCTTACTTTGGTTTTTGTTGTTTAGCAAATACTACTTCTGAGTTTATATTTCATCCCAATGAATCCTACATAAAATGATCTTCCCCATTTACATGAATGGAATTTAGAGCTGAGTTCATACCAATAAATAGTAAAATAACATTTAAAATCAATTGTACAGATTGTCTGAACTCTGGAAAGAATAAAAGCAAAATTAAAAGTGAAAGCATTTTGGAGGATGCTTTTAAAACAGGCTGTGTTTTTTTTATATATATATATATCAAAAGATCCGTAAAACATAGGCATTGTAGGAGATTCTTATTCCATGGAAGACTGTGAGGCAATGGTAATTTTAAGCATCACCCATAGGTTCCAAACTTTGAGAAGATGGTTTATTTTGAGTAGGCCACAAAGTAAGAATTACAGGTGGTCCACTGTTGTTTTCTTGTTTATTGTGGTCCCTGAGGAGAAGACAGACTAGTTTTGAGCTATGTTATCAAAGATTTATATAATATTTTTGCAGCTTGGGAGGCTGATCATGAGTTCAAAGCCAGCCTCAGCAACTTAGTGAAGCTCTGAGCAACTCAGCGAGACCCTTTCTCTAAGTAAAATATAAAAATTGCTTGGGTTGTGGCTCAGTGTTATGATAGAGTAATTTTGGGAAGAAGTGATGCATGTCTGCTTTCCTTGTTCCCCCAAACTATATGTCCACACCCTCTTGTTTTACCAAAAAAGATATGTGGCTGTCCCAGAGTTGGATTAAATGATCTTACATTTCTGTAGGGAATTTGATTAGTTGATAACCCTTTGTCTTTGGGTTTGTTCCCTTGTGGTAATGCCATGGTATTAATGACCTTTCTTTGTCTCTTCTCTCTGCCTGTCCAACTTCCTCTTGTGTGTTGTCCTGCAAGTTACCTTCTGCAGTATTGTTTTACTATTTTCTGTATATCATTTGATGGTTAAATTATAGTTAAAATTTATATTCAGGTTTTGAATGAATCTATGGAATATATATGCCAGGTGAATTTTTTTGAAGGCCTTAAAACCTGGGGGTTGTGGCTCATTGGTAAAGCACTTGATAAGCATGCATAAGGCTCTGGGTTCCRTCCCTAGTATCACCCCCTACCCCAAATCATTTGTAAGCTTGGTCTTCCACTTGGAATTTTTGATACAATAGTGAAAATAACCTCTCTTTTTAATTTTTACCCCAGCAATATTATATAGACTGATATAGTGTAATCTGAGATGAAAACAAGTGTTGTAAAAGTGCTTCTATCTAGTGAATCCTCAATCAAAGTATCCTTTTGTTGCCTAGAAAGATTTAAAAACCCGAATCTCAGACAAATACTTTTTATAGTTTAAAGGTAACTTGGCTATCTAGTATCACTCCAGTGCTCTTGAACTGTTCAGAGGCCTGAGAACGTGACATGCCTAGGAATACACAACTGGTTTAATAGGAGTCCACCCAAGTCTAGAATTGGCTCAAAAGTCATTTTTCCTTTGTAGATACTACATACAGGTTGAGTATTCCTTCACTGCAATGCTTAGAAATAMTAGGATTTTTTTAGCTTTCAGAGTTTTTCTGATTTGTGTATATTTACATAGACTTTATTGATTAAATATCCCTATTCTGAAAATGTGAAATCCTCTGAATTTTAGATTTTGGATTTTGATGAATATTCGACATCTGTATTACATGCATAGGTGTGGCCTACCATGAAATAGAATGAACCTAGGCCACTGGTTGTAAATCTTTGAAATGGTATGAAAACATTTGCCTTCGCAATATCTCTGAGCTACAACTSCTTAATTGTTCACTTAATCATTTAATAGTCTCCTTGTGCAGGTGAAGTTCCGCTGAATTTGAGTACAGGTATCATTTAAATCTAATTCCCTYTATGCCTTTGCTTGGCAAGTAATGGACATGATTTTGTTTTTCAGCTCAAACAGTCATGACTACACCAAAGACATGGAAGAAACCAAAAGATCGGACCCGAACCACTGATGAGTTGTTGGAGGCAGAATTGGAGGTAAGAGACAACAAATCTCTTTAGCTTATCTTCTGATAATTGATGCCATTTCAGGTATGAAGTTGTACTTCTTATAGTACCATTTCCCAAACAAAACTTAATATATTTTGTTCAGRGACTAATTTTTTAAAATCCATTTATAGTAGCATTTTAAAAAGATTTTTAGTGGGCTGGGGATGTGGCTCAAGCGGTAGCGCGCTCGCCTGGCATGCGTGCGGCCCGGGTTCGATCCTCAGCACCACATACCAACAAAGATGTTGTGTCCGCCGAGAACTAAAAAATAAATATTAAAAATTCTCTCTCTCCCTCTCTCCTCTCTCACTCTCTCTTAAAAAAAAAAAAAGATTTTTAGTAACATGTTTAATTTTATTGAATTATTATCTTTTAAAATAAATCTTCTAAACTTGCCAACTTTTGGTTAACTCTTCCCTTCCCCATAATTCAGTATTTTCTGTATATTAACCTGAACAAAGACTAATCTGGTAACCAAAAATGATTTTTAAATGAAACCATTAGCCAGGGTGGTAGAAATATCCAATCCAATTTAGGGACATTTATTTTAAATCTGTTGTCTTTGTATCCCAGTAACATAACTTTTTCTCATGTGGGTGGTCCCTCTTAAAATAAGCCTCACCAGATTTTGCTGTAGGTTAAAACATAACAAGTCTGAGTTGTTGCAAAGAAGAAACAAGAACAAATTTAGTCTTAAGGCTTGCCCTGACAATTTTCTAGTATTAATCTTAGCATCTTATTGTTATGTATTAAAATTTATACATATGGGCTGGGAATGTGGCTCAAGCGGTAACATGCTCACCTGGCATGCGTGGGGCACTGGGTTCGATCCTAAGCCCCACATAAAAARAAAAATAAAGATGTTGTGTCCACCGAAAACTGAAAAATAAAAAAAAAAAAAATTTATACATAAACAATCTACATGTAGCTTTCTTCCCTTTTAAGCTAATCTTATAATCTACTTTATAAAGTAGTTCTTACTGAACATTAACATTAAAGTGATATTATTTAAAATGTAGCCATTATTTGAAGGTAACTTTAGATGCATTCACTTCATAAGGCTTTACTGGCTAGTTAAATTTTTTATCTCTTCTTTCAATTAACCAGTACCCTTTGTTTCTTCCCTATCATTGCTCTTACATGGTGCTCAGTTGGTCACAGTTGTTTCCATAGCAACCACTAAAATGTTAAATTGGGTTTATTGGGATAAGACTTGTCAATAAATTAATAGAGATGCATATATTTGCTGTGCTCCCCTTGTAGCTGAACAAGAAAATTATGTTCCTTTAGAGAATAAAATACCTTCTAGAGGCAAGGGAATTATATGCATTCCTGGTGTGACTACCAATTCATAAACTCATTTCCCTATAGATTCAGCTGGTTTTTTATTCATTTTCTTCTATCATACTTCATATTCCTCTGTGCTGTGGCTATCTTTCACAGAATTGTTGAATGTTAAATGAATGTACCACCACTCCCATGTCCTCAGATGTTCATCCTGTTCTTTAGCTTGGAACTAGCAAACTTTTTCCATGAAGGCCYAGTTAGTGATTCCTGTCATAATTCCCAAAAGCAGCTGCAGACAATATGTAAATGAATTAAATAGTATATTCTAGTAAAATTTTATTAGTGGACACTGAAATTTGAATTCCTACATCATGAATTTTTTCCCCCACCATTCCAAATTTAAAAACYATCCTTACTGATCATGCATTGCAAAAACAGGTGGTGAACCAGAACTGGCCTGTGGGCCATATTTACCATAAACTTACATTAACATGTTATTCCTCAAACAAGAGAACTTATATTTGTTTGGAAGCAGTCACTTATTTTCTAACCTCATAGTTTAAAAATAAAATTTTGTAAGTCATTTGCAAATAYAGACTTCTTTCAGAAATCCTTGTCCTTTACCTTTCATAAAATAGGATTTGTTAGTTTAACAAATATTGGATGCTTTTGCCTTCATTTCCACTGATTAAGCTCTCCCTCTCTTACATTATTTTCTCAAAAATAACATGTTTCCATCGGGTGTGGTGGCAAACACTTGTAATCCCAGTGACTTGGGAGGCTGAAGCAGGAGGATCATAAGTTTAAGACCACCCTCAACAATTTAGTGAGGCCTTAAGCAACTTTGTGAGACCCTGTCTCAAAATAAAAGTAAAGACAGAGCTGGAGATGTAACTGAGTAATAAAATGTTTTTGAGTTCAAAGTCTAATACAAAATAATAATTATAATTTGTTTCAAAGGGGACGTATTGGGGAATGATATTGACCAAATTATATCATATAGTTTTTCTCATGGGTAGATGGGGTACTGGGCATTGAACTCAGGGCCACTCAACCACTGTGCCGAATCTCCAACCCTTTTTATTTCTATTTAGAGACAAGGTCTCAATGAGTTGCTTAGTGCCTCGCATTTGTTGAGGCTGGCTTTGAACTCATGATCCTCCTGCCTTGGCCTCCCACGCCTCTGGGATTACAGGCATGTACCMTGGAGCCTGGCTTGTTATATAGTTTTTATGTACAAATATGTAACACAAAGTTGCACTGTTTATAATTATAATGTACCAATAAAAATATGGAAAAAAATTAATGTGTTTCAGACACGCTTATATACTGGATTGTTAAGTCAGTACAAACATTTCAGCAAGTTCTTCATAGCTTAGGAAAATAACTTGAAGGACGCTTTGTTTTAAAATTGCTTGTTGGAGTCTTGGTAAACAGCCTAGTGGTCAAAAGCTTGTCTAGCATACTCAAGGTCCAGGGTTCAATCCCAGCACTGCAAAAAGTAAAGAATAAAAATAAAATAAACCTGGGTGTGGTGGTAATGGTGGTACTCACCTATAATAATCCCAGCTTCTTGGGAGGCTGAGGCAGGAGGATCAGAAGTTTGAAACTGCCTTCACAACTTTGTTAAGACCCTTTTGCAAAAAAAATAAAAGGAATTTGGGATGTGGATCAGAGGTTAAGCACCCCTGGCTTCAATCCTTAGTATCACAAATATAAATAAAATTTCTCGTGAAGCTGTTAAAATTTGTTTATAACTTTTGAGACATTTCATCAATCATTATCTATACATAGTTACATAGTTGCAGTCTGATTTTCCTATGTTTTAAAAACCTCACTGTATTAAGAAACTTGCTGTTTCAGTTAAGTAGATTGTGTTTCAACAGATTCCTGTATCTGGGCATGGTGGCGCATACCTGTAATCCCAGGCTGAGGCAGAAGGATTACAAGTTAAAGGCCAACCTCAGCAATTTAGCAAGATTATGTCACAAAATAAAAAACAAAGAGGGATGGGGATGTACTCGGTGATAGAGTACCCCAGTATTCAATTCCCAGCAGCCTTCCCCACCCACATACATAATAGAACAGATTCCTATAAAGGATTCACATTTGACCATTCAGCTAATGTGGTACTCTTATACTTCAACCCATTTTTCTGAGTGAGCAATTCAGGAACAGTTACTACACTTTCAGACTAGTTTGATAAGAGTTTTATCATGCTGAAAGAAAAATCATCATCATACACATTTAATTCTCCTATTTTTGTTGATTCCCTTGACATATCTCTAATAACAGTATGCCTCAGACTCTGCAGTGATTCTGTTTGCTAAAGTATAATTTGTTATTTATGTGTGAAGTTTACTTACACTTCTTTTTTACAATTAGAAATTGAATTTTGAAATAAATTCTGTTTTTATGTGATTTAGCTTTATAGAAAAGAGGACCCAGTAAATGTTCTTCTCTAAAATACGTTTTTTTTTTTATTTTTAAAGATTTGAAGTAAAAATTCTACATAATTATATAATGTAGATACCCTGTATTTACATATTCAACACATCAATTATCAACGATCTAGGAGACACAATGGTGTCCTCTTGTGGTCCCCGCTACTTGGGACTCTGAAACCTTTGCTTGGGAGCAATGAGATTGTTGAGTCTGCCAGGAATTTGAGGCCTATCTGGGTAACATTGTGAGAACTTGTTCAGGGAGGAAGAAAAGATTTTCTCGATGACTTGTTCTTACTTATAAAATTGTATTTCTAGGTCATTATGGGTTCATTTAGACCATATTACAGTATAAAATGTTTTTTTATGAGGTTTCTGATTATGATTCAATTTTAGTAGACCTGTTATTCTCAAAGCTTAAAAGATGCCTCCTTTCTGCCACATTTTATAAAATCATTGCCAAACTTTATTTTCTTGGAATTTTACATCTCTCTCTCTCTCTCTCTCTCTCTCTCTCTCTCTCTCTCTCTCTCTCTTTTTAAGTTTCCATGTACTGTCCCTATCCATGGTTGTGCATGTATGTTTATCTACATTTGCATAGACTTTCCTTTTCCATTATCTAATCAGGGCTTGAAAACATCTGTTTCTAAAAATAACATTTTAAAATTTAGTATCTTTGATCCATGAAGAAGAAAATTTACTAGTATTACATCTGTTGTAATACTTCTTTTATGTAAGCAAGTAGGATTTTTCACTCAGACTTTAATAAAATAAAATAAAACATTATTTCATAAATAGTTTGGATGAATACCTACTGGCATTACCTTTTAAAGACTTTAAACTATCCCCACGCTCTTCATTTCTCAGCCAGAGGACAACATAACTGTTTTATGTAGGGTTGTGTTCAATCAGCCCTGATTTTTTGGCTCCTGATCTAGTATGGAGTTACCAACTGGGATTTCTCTTTCCTCAGTGCTAATTTCAGAGGGTTATGTTCAGAGTGCCAGCCTTCATGGAAAAAAAAAAAAAGATTTAAATTTCATATAGAGCTTTATCCCAAACAGTTTTGATGGCTCATGAGGACCTTAGAAAGTCATTTTGTTTGATATCTGACACCAAAATAGTAAGAAATAATATGAGGAATAATTTTAATTCTTTTTTTGCCTTTAAAAATASATTTCTTACTTCAGAACCCAGATTTCTCTCTACAGATTTGTATTCTCAGCTTTTCCCCCCACGTTATAGCCTCAGCGAAGACTGAACCAATAAGAAAAATAGATTTTAACCAAAAAGTGTCTTCCTTATAAATGAGGTATGATTACCTTTTAAAGACTTTAAACTGTCCCCACGCTCTTCATTTCCCAGCCAGAGGACAACATAAAATATACTCTCTAGTGTTTCTTTTTATATTTGCTGAGCTTCAGTGGCATGAGGAGGAGTGCTTGTTTTAGATCTCTGACTAGGACTCTCATGCTCATCAACTTCCAAGGGTTAGCAGTTCTTTCTGTTCTAACTTTGATACATTTGGATTTCCTTAGTCACATGTGAAAGCATTTCAGTAGCCATTGTCTGCTTTTTCCCAGATGATGAAATGTAGAAAGATTTTTTTTTTAAGTTATAATTCTAGTGCCAAATGCTGAACACAGACATTGTTATCTGGAATGACATGCTCTTCTAATTTTTGAGGATGTAGATGTAGGGCTTTATGTATATTTTCACATACAAAAAAAAGGTAACTTCTATGTTCATTTATGCTTTAGCCTAAAGCTGAAGAGCTTTCAATTGACAGAGTACTTGAATCTGAACAAGAAAAAATGAGCCAAGGGTTTCATCCTGAGAAAGACCCCTCTGACCTAAAAAAAGTGAAAGGTTTAGAAGAAAATGGAGAAGAAGCTGAGCCTTTGCGTAATGGTGCTGAGAGTGTTTCTGAGGGTGAAGGAGTAGATGCTAATTCAGGCTCCACCGATAGTTCTGGCGATGGGATCACATTCCCATTTAAACCAGGTAAGTTCACCCCTCCCTGCCTTCCTGCGTACCTCTTTCTTTCTCCCCTTTACTCTGCTGCCTCCTCAGAGACACTGGATGAAGGAAGAGGCTTAACACAGTGTTATAGATTAGTGACTAGCAAATCCAAAGAGTTCTACACTGCAAAAATGATATCTGAAGCTGGTGCTCCAGGATTTTTTTTAGCATTGGAAGCACCTCTGGGAGAGGGAATCCGTCAGTACCAGGCTGTTGGAATTCAATAAAAAAAATTTAGTTTTGTTTTAAATCAAGGGGCCATTATAGATATGACCATGTTCCTTGACATTGTCTTTTCATAAACTTTGAACTTGCTTTATTGACAGAAATCACTCTGTAGAACTGAACTCTGACATATATCATCCAGAAAATATGACTTAATTATTGAATGCCTGCATTATGGCAGGTGAAATGTGTGGAAGCACTAAAGGACCCTTCAGCAAACCATCAAATAAATGTATCAGACTTGTGCTCTAGGCTGGGAGTGTGTAGCTCCATGGTAGGCCATTTATGTAACATGCATGAGGCCCTGWGTTTGACCTCCAGCACCACAAAAACCAAACTAACAGCACTAATGTCCTCATAATCTGTAAACCGTGATTAACTTTGAGATTTATGGAGAGAGTTAGTGTGGATATGTGGGGAAAGGTGATTGGAAAAGATGCAAGGTTTCTCTTATTCTGTCTGTTTTACAGTAAATTTGGCATGAGGTAAGATTTGATTGTAAATGTACTGGCCCTCTAAAAAATACAAGTGCTTCAGTTGTGGGTCATAAAGTCATTATATCTGTTACTGTGAATTATAAGTGAAATTTTTGAAAATCATTGATTTATATGTAGAACTGACAGAATAAGAATAAAAAATAATAAAAAATCATAAACTGATTTTTTTTCCTACCAATAGACTCCCCTAATGAATTTTAAGAAATTATAATTATTCTCCTATTTCATCCCATTTTTAGGAACTAGTAGACCAAAATAAGTTTTACGCAGAATTTTTAATTTTTTAACTGTAGGACCCACTGTTTTGAAATTGCTTTTCATAATCTAGGCAAGCACTTGTAGCCACCAATCCTTCTTCAGGAAATTGAGATAGTATTGCCGTTTTTAGATTATATAAATCATACTTTTGTTTTACAGGGAAAGGTACACAGTTATGGGCCTCAACTATAATTGACTGACTCTCTTTTATCCCTATAATACAGTACCCAAAAACAAAATTTGGATAAAAAGCAGCTTAAAATTTAGATCCTGAGGAGCTGTTAGCTTTTTAATAAATAAGGTAAATAGGGTTTGGGTGAAAATATCTGCAAAGCCAGGCACAGTAGTGCATGCATGTAATCCCAGCAGCCTGGAGGGGCAGAGATAGAAGGATTGTGAGTTCAAAGCCAGCCTTAGCAACCTAGCAAGGCCCTAAGCAGCTCAGCCAGACCCTTTATAAATAAAATTTTGTTTAACAAAAAAAAARGGGGGGGGGCTGGGATGTGGTTCAATGGTTAATTCCCCCTGGGTTCAATCCCCAGTACCAAAAAACAGAAAGAAAGAAAAGAAAATATCTGCACAATTCTCCCAAAGCATTCATGGGTATATAACTTACACAATAGAAACCACTAATATAAAGAGAACCTGGTTTGCTATCATAAAGTGATCTGGAGTTTTGCCAATTAAAAGAAAAAAATCATGGCTTGCTTTTATCATCCAATAAAATTTTATATGGAAGTTCTCYAATTTTATATAATAAGAATGGGGTTAAATAGAGATAGCTAGTACAGTAGCATAGTATCAAGGTAAGTGCTATGCCAAAAAAACTGTTTCAAAATTCATTTAAAAATATTAGTTCAGAGTACTTTTAGAGTCAGGATATTTGGAGAAAGATACATACGTTCTGTTTCCAGGTACTTTATTTTCTTCTTATTAAACCACAGGCAAGGATGAAAATTGGCTCAGTGGTAGAGCACTTATTTAACACAGGATGGGGAGGAGCCCTTGGTTCCATCCACCCCCCCACCCCTAAACAAAAGCTACTTAGATGGTTCGTTATCTTAAGGAAGTTTTTTGGTTTTGTTTCGAGTTACCTTTTTCTTTTCTTGAAAACATTTCCAAGTAAATAGCTAAAGTACCTTTGTTTTTCATGAAGCCAAGRGTTGCGCCAAATTCCTTATTTCTGACATATCTAAATGATTGTTAGTTGACTTAATGAGCATTATTATATGTCCCTGACCAAAAGTTGATTAGTGTGGATGTATTGAAGTAATTTCTGATGGCTTCCAATTTTTTTTTTTTTTTTTTATCCAGAGGTATCCAGGAGGGTTGAAAACACAATTGGTAGTTTAAATTTTTTACATGGTATTTTCTGTCTATAGTTCATTGTTGCCTTTGGTTTTTGTTTCCTTGTTTGTTCATGAAGAGATACATGTTGGAATCTATTTGTATAAACAGTTTTCTGCCTACATCTGTCCCTCTTTTTAGAATCCTGGAAGCCTTCTGATACTGAGGGCAAGAAGCAGTATGACAGGGAGTTTCTGCTGGACTTCCAGTTCATGCCAGCCTGTATACAGAAACCAGAGGGCCTGCCACCCATCAGTGATGTGGTTCTTGACAAGGTAAGCTGCATTCTCTGAGAAAGGTAGGTCTTTGGGTGGAGCTGGCTTTAACTATCGGTGTAAATATGTGAAGATGTGAAGTATAAGCAATTTTTAGGAACTATAATACCAAAGAGCATTTGAGTAACAATATATAATGTCTAAGAATTAGAATTTCCCAAAGCATTGTTGGATTTTAGGTTAGAGGCATGTTGAAATCGACATTTGAGTGGTGATTTTTTAAAAATTCATTAATTTATCTGCTTATTATGGCTGTTTCCTAGAAATGTGGTAAAAATTTTGTGGTTGTTGGAGGAAACATATGACTAAATTGACACAGAACTCTTTCCCCACTGTTCTAAAATTTTCTTATGTAATTCTATCCTCACTGAGGACAGGTCAGAAACCTAGAAAGCTACTTGGAAGAGTAAACTTAAGATGGGAGTCAATATAGTTCAAATAAGGGGTATCTCAATTTTTTTCTTAGTGATTTAAGCCTCCAGTCCTGTGCAGATAGGTAGGCATCCTTCCTGATTTTCTGTATGAATCATGGACTTAATGGATGCAAACAAAAATTATTACTGTCAGTGTTTGTTGTTTAGATTAAAAGGAGTAAAATGGGGGTGCTTAAGTAATTTCATAAAAATCAAAGATGAACCAGTGCTGCTAAAGAAGTTGGAAGGTTTGGGGTTTTTTTTTTTTTTTTTGGTTTGTTTGTTTGTGTGTTTATTTTCATTTTGTGGTATTGAGGATCAAACTTAAGGCCACAAGCATGCTAAGGCCACAAGCATGCTGTGCATGTGCTCTACCATTGAACTGTAACCCCAGCCTCTGAACTATGCTTGAAGAGGAACTTTTATCCCTYATAAAAATATTAATTTTCTTATAGATTGAGATACCTGCCCTTTATGCAGATATCCAGCATCTGCTTATACTCACCTTATTTATATTAAATATTTTCCTTTCCCACAGTAATAGGTCCTCTTATATCTCTGTCTGTATCTAAGTGTCCTCTCTTAGGTACCTGTGTGAGGATAGTTGAACAATTAGTGGTACAATTCAGAGGCTTCGTAATTATTTCAGAGTGCAGGTGTTGTATTCAGTTTCATCATGCTCTTAGAAAATATTTTTGCCTGTCTCGTTACCTTATTTTTCTCTTGCTTTAGCCATTCATTAAATGATTTTCCGCTGAGCTACTTAGTTTTGCTGACTCCAAACTCATGTTATATGCTTAGTCAAATATCTCAGATATTTAGTCAAATATCTCAGTTTAACAAGGCAGACAAAATGAAATTTTTTAAATGGGTTTCACATGAAACATTTTTCCTTTGAGACTTGTCTACTCTCTGTATGTGAATTACTAACCTTAAAATGACAGCATCAAAACCAAAATGAACAATAGCAAGATATCTAATAGGCCATGCTCTGATATCCTGGTGAATATCTTCTAAAACAAATTTCAAAATTTGGCCATATTTCAGAAGATCTCAAAATACCTTGCTTGTTTTATGTCTTTCTGTGGTTCTCTGCCATTAACTGATTGTGTGTAGCCTTAATCAGTCCCAGGACACAAGAACACTGTGTTTGCCCTGTGGCTCTGGAGCTAGCCCAGGAGAAGCTGCCATGGGTCAGGTTGACAACTTTTTAGTCAAAGGTTTTTGTTAATTCTTTAGCACTGAATGCTCTGAAACCTGTTGTAAGCTTTGTTTTTCCTTCATGCAGATCAATCAACCCAAATTGCCAATGCGAACTCTGGATCCTAGGATTTTACCACGGGGACCAGATTTTACTCCAGCCTTTGCAGATTTTGGAAGGCAGCCACCTGGTGGAAGAGGTGTGCCTGTAAGTGTAAGTTCCCTATAGTCAAAATTAGTTAGAAAAACTTTCATAGATTCCATAACATCTTGTCTAATGGCAAGACAGAGTGGCTGATTATTAGTAGCTGATTCCTGTAATAGAGGTGAAGACAGTCCTCTCCATACAAATATTAAAGCAAATAAATACACTTGAATCATTTTTACTTGAAAGAAACTGGTCTGCATTAATTTGATCTTGATTTTCTTTTTGTGTTTGTTTCTTCATATTTATTCCATTGAATTGAMTTGCAAATATTTTTAAAGTAGACCAACCTTTGAGAGCATTCCTGTTTTGTTTTCAGGTATCCTGGTATACTGCAGATCTCTGATGACATTCAGTAATGTTCATCTCTTTGTCTTTGTTTCTACAGATTTGCAAAGTGCAGAGCAGGCACGGATTGCCAATTCTGGAACACAGCAAAGCCCCAAGTTGCACTCCACTGGCGATTGCACACCCACCCCTGAAGAGCCTGCCTCTAGGGGTGCGCTGAATCATTTTTCTTTTTTAAATGATAGCCTGTGGTGTTATAATATTTTTCATTTTGCTTTTCTTATTTACTTTAGGTTGTGAAGTCAAAATGTAAACAAATAACATCTATAAAAGACTAGTATTGGTAAACTGCAGATTGCCATTGCACCCCCAGTGGCRGGCTCTTCAGCGGTGGAAGTGGCATCACCAATGGACTTATGCTGGGGCGCTGCACTGTGCAGGATTCGGCAGACACTGCCTACTCCTTGCTTTGTAGATTTGCAGAAAGCATGGGGGAAAGTTGCCAAGGACATGACTGTGTCATTTCCCCTAAACTAGAATAGCATAGGGTGCACTTAATCCAAAATCTGAATTAACTCAGGGTTTCATGTGTATTTTGAAGAGTTCTCTTTTAAGAGAACTTTATTCTGTGCTTGTATAAACATGTTTATATAAGGTGACACTTTATTTCCTCATCACCTTTTTATTTATGTAATGGCAACTTTTTTTTTTAATTGGTTGTTCAAAACATTACAAAGCTCTTGACATATCATATTTCATACATTTGATTCAAGTTGGTTATGAACTCCCATTTTTACCCCGTATACATTTTGCAGAATCACATCGGTTACACATCCACGTTTTTACATATTGCCATACTAGTGACTGTTGTATTCTGCTATCTTTCCTATCCTCTACTATCCCCCCTCCCCTCCTCTCCCATCTTCTCTCTCTACCCCATCTACTGTAATTCATTTCTCTCCCTTGATTTTTTTTCCCTTTCCCCTCACATCCTCTTATATGTAATTTTGTATAACAATGAGGGTCTCCTTCCATTTCCATACAATTTCCCTTCTCTCTCCCTTTCCTTCCCACCTCTCATCCCTGTTTAATGTTAATCTTTTTCTCATTCTCTTCCTCCCTGCTCTGTTTTTAGTTGCTCTCCTTATATCAAAGAAGACATTTGGCATTTGTTTTTTAGGGATTGGCTAGCTTCACCTTGCATAATCTGCTCTAATGCCATCCATTCCCCTGCAAATTCCATGATTTTGTCATTTTTAGTGCTGAGTAATACTCCATTGTGTATAAATGCCACATTTTTTTAATCCATTTATCTATTGAAGGGCATCTAAGTTGGTTCCACAGTCTAGCTATTGTGAATTGTGCTGCTATGAACATCAGTGTAGCAGTATCCCTATAGTACCCTCTTTTAAGGTCTTCAGGGAATAGTCCGAGAAGGGCAATAGCTGGGTCAAATGGTGGTTCCATTCCCAGCTTTCCCAGGAATCTCCATACTGCTTTCCAAATTGGCCGCACCAATTTGCAGTCCCACCAACAATGTACAAGTGTACCCTTTTCCCCACATCCTCGCCAGCACTTGTTGTTGTTTGACTTCATAATGGCTGCCAATCTTACTGGAGTGAGATGGTATCTGAGGGTGGTTTTGATTTGCATTTCTCTGGTGAGCATTTTTTCGTGTACTTGTTGATTGATTGTATATCCTCCTCTGAGAAGTGTCTATTCAGGTCCTTGGCCCATTTGTTGATTGGGTTATTTGTTTTCTTATTGCTTAATTTTTTGAGTTCTTTGTATACTCTGGATATTAGGGCTCTATCTGAAGTGTGAGGAGTAAAGATTTGTTCCCAGGATGTAGGCTCCCTATTTACCTCTCTTATTGTTTCTCTTGCTGAGAAAAAACTTTTTAGTTTGAGTAAGTCCCATTTGTTGGTTCTTGTTTTTAACTCTTGTGCTATGGGTGTCCCATTAAGGAATTTGGAGCCTGACCCCACAATATGTAGATCGGAGCCAACTTTTTCTTCTATCAGACGCAGAGTCTCTGATTTGATGTCAAGCTCCTTGATCCATTTTGAGTTAACTTTTGTGCATGGTGAGAGAAAGGGATTCAGTTTCATTTTGTTGCATATGGATTTCCAGTTTTCCCAGCACCATTTGTTGAAGATGCTATCCTTCCTCCATTGCATGCTTTTAGCCCCTTTATCGAATATAAGATAGTTGTAATTTTGTGGATTGGTTTCTGTGTCCTCTATTCTGTACCATTGGTCCACCCGCCTGTTTTGGTACCAGTACCATGCTTTTTTTGTTACTATTGCTCTGTAGTACAGTTTGAAATCTGGTATCGCTATACCTCCTGATTCACACTTCCTGCTTAGAATTGCTTTTGCTATTCTGGGTCTTTGATTTTTCCATATGAATTTCATGATTGTTTTATCTATTTCTACAAGAAATGCCGTTGGGATTTTGATTGGCATTGCATTGAACCTATAGAGAACTTTTGGTAATATCGCCATTTTGATGATGTTAGTTCTGCCTATCCATGAACAGGGTATATTTTTCCATCTTCTAAGATCTTCTTCTATTTCTCTCTTTAGGGTTCTGTAGTTTTCATTGTATAAATCTTTCACCTCTTTTGTTAGGTTGATTCCCAAGTATTTTTTTTTTTTTGAGGATATTGTGAATGGGGTGGTTTTCCTCATTTCCATTTCAGAAGATTTGTCGCTGATATACAGGAATGCCTTTGATTTATGCGTGTTGATTTTATATCCTGTGTAATGGCAACTTTTGAAACCTGCTTCTTAGAATAAGACTGCACCATGTGAAAACAAATGTTATTTTGTGTATATTTATTTATTTGCCTGAAGCTAAATACTTAAATTCAAGGTACTTGAATGCCTATAGCATGTTGGAGGTGCTACAGAAAATTTCCCTGATCTGGAACATATTGTTTATTGAGCATCACCATCTCGAAGACCTCCATGTGTGTGAAAATCTGTTCACACACAGGTTCATGGTGTTACCTTTATCTATTTTTTATAAATATTAAATTTTTTTTTTTACAGCTTGAATTTCCTCACCAAAATGTCTTAGAAAGCAGCTTTCTAGAAACTCTTTTATAACCTTTTTCCCCAGCACTATTTCCCTTGTTGATAATTTCAAATTATATTTGCATTACCTTTTATTCTGGTTTTGGTTTATAACATTGTTTTGCTAACATTTGAAATAATGTTCATGCCATTTTTGTTATTCTCTAGATTATAACATCTGTGGTTACTTAAAATTGCTTTGTTCATGCCACTCTCAGAAGGTATGAATTACTGTGTCTACTCTTACAGTGTATATTGGCACTTATCATTACTAGCGTGCTATTCATTGTTTTTCTAGTAATTAGTTATAGCAAAATGGAAATATCAAAAGAGTTTAATAAGCTCTGTATTTTAAAATATAGAAAGTACAAAATTAATTTTAAAACCATGTCACACTGTGTATTTGACCACTCMTTCTTATTCCTATGTATGTCAGACGAGTTATTCTGATGCATTCAAAGTAATGTGACTGAGAATAAGATATTATCTAGAATTTCTAATGTCTCCCCAAAGATCATTGTTATTTRACTAGTTTTCTATAAGTAGTTTCATTACATGTCAAAAGCTAGTTTTTATGGGAAATTTGGATCTCTCAGGGTGGTATTGATAATACAAACATTAATACAGTAGTTACACTTCTAGCCTTTACTGTAGCTAACAGACATTCTTCACTTAATTTGTTCAGCTCTCCTTGGTGTGTTAATATAGTTCTAGATGTTCACATCATAGGACATAAATGTCTTAACATATAAAGGAGCAAAAAAATAATGCTCTTTGGGGAAAAATAAATAAAATAAACAGCAGCCCAGCTCTTTGTAGTTTCTGGTTCTATACCTCTGTCATTTTCACCAGGTGTCCAAATTGGCTTATGATTAATTACCATCCTAGCATATTAAAATCTGTTAGATATGCTCCATAGTATGGCTTAAGTATCTATGACTTGTATTATAAACATTTTTGCAATAGACTTACTTGTTACAAAAGAGTTTTAATGTACAGTAATTGTTTTAAAAATATTATACAGATGTGCAGATTCATACAAATTTTTATAAGTATTCCTTGATGGACAGTAAAGTGCATATCTGTTGGAAATACCCAGAAGGATCATCTCTGTAGGTTTTGTTAATCAAATTGTTTGGTAGTTTTGATGTTAATTTAATAGTATTCTGTTTATAGATATCAGAGAAAGTGCTCCGAAAGAATTGTCTTAAGAGCAACTATGGACCTTGTTTAATAAATTACCATTTGTAATCAGTTTAAGTACCCTTGAGATTAACTGATCTGTTATAAAAATCCTAGGCGCCAAGAAGTTCCTGTATTCATATAATCTCTCTATAAAGGAACACCTGGTTACCTGTCTTTGAAAATAGAGCAAATGATTCTGTTTTCTTTGATTATTCAAGTAAGCAGAGAAATTTTTAGTTGTAATCTCTAAAAGACATAGAAGCAATGAATATTAAATTCTAAAATAGATTTGTATATTTCTTATTTAATACATTTTTTTAAATTTAAAATTAGTAAAAAAAAAATTAAACTTGCAGCTCACCTAGGGGAAAAAAAACAAAAACAACTCTGACTTTAAATTAGTCAACCCCAAATTCTGACACTTTAGGTCCCAGTTTTGTGTGTGTGTGTGTGTGTGTGTGTGTGTGTGTGTGTGTGTTTGGTAATAAGTCATTCACCATGTGGTGCTTCTTTTGAAAAATACTATAAATCTGGTGACTTGTATTGTTTTTTTCTCATTCAAAAAAGAGACATAAGGGCTGGGGTTATGGCTCAAAAGAGACAAATATTTAAGTCCACTTGTCACTTTTTTAAAGACAACCCTTTTGATTCTTACTGATGATTGATGATGATATCTTGTATAGTTTTGAGGGGTTGTTTTTGTGGTACTGGGGGTATCAAATGCAGGGCCTTGTGCATTTTAAATGCATTCAACTATATCCTACCTGTCCTTGCACAGTTTTAAGGTCCTTTTACATACCTTGTATCCTGTAATCCTCAGAATAACTTTTATCAGTAAAACAGACCTTGTATTTATGAGAAAACTTAAAATTCAGCAGTTAAGAAACTTGCCAACAGTAATTTTGCTCATAAGTAGGAGATTTGTATTCATGAGTCTGGTTCTTCTGTCTCCTAATTCCAGATGTTGGTATTCCAAACAGTGACATTGTTCCCACACTGAAAACGTGAAAGAATTGGAGATTGATTAATTGTACATATTAAGGATTTTAAAACATAGTAAATGTTTTTAAACATTTGAGGGTTCAAAATATATACATAAATATTTGTGAACCCTGTTTATCTTATATTTGTACAGCAATACAAATATCATTTTTAAATTTATCATGGGAACTTGCATGGATCTTTATCTTGGACCAACAACTTGCCAGTTAGCCTTTCAAGTCTATCTTTTCTTTGAAGCATTATTATTATTTATTAATATTTCTCACTTCTGTATTGCCCACTTGTAAACCATACATATTTATCTTGGGACAGGTAAAGGAATAAAGCATAAATAATCTCTGTCACTTTGCAGATTAAAAGCTTGACATATCCATTGGCATTTGCTGTAATTTTAGGAAATGTGCACACAGTGACTCTTACATGCTTTTGAATTAATTTCCTTTCATTACACCCAGACACATTTGTATACCCACACATATTTATATGCAAGTATGAAAATTAAATGTGTTAAATTGTTTGCCTGAGCTGTATCATCCTAGCATTGAAAAAGAGATTAACCCATACAAGTCAACGTATTCGAGTATAACCTGGATTATAAGAACCAGACAGTACTTGGTTTACTGCAATTTTCTTTAAAAAATTGTTTGATCTGGACTACCAAATCAAAGTTGCAGTTAAAAATAAAAGTTCTTGGGCTGGGGATGTGG